ATATATATATATGTCGCATGTTTACCTCTACAGGTGGTGATGGTGTAATCAACGAGTTTGAACTCATACTTCTTATATTTGGTAATCACAATCTTACAAACGGACACACAACTATAACGAACCAAACTGTTACGATATGATGAACTTGTTAACCATCTAAAGGATTACAATAAACTCTTCCAACTTTATCGATTTGCCTCCCATTATAAGGGTACAACCTGGCACACAATTTTCCATATTCGATACAAATAGAACCAAACGCGTAATTAAAAATACTTGGAAATATTGTATAACTATAGATACATCAAATGGCATTTCTGTTCCTTTGTGAAAGTATTTAAAATGTATCCTTTCCAATACGTTTCCAATACTGAATAAAGTAATACCTAATGATATTTTCAAATCAGGTTTAATTATTGTATTAAACTTGTAACTTTAATGGATTTCATTAAAATGTATGTTTTTTAGTTTCGTGGTATATATAATTTTGCATTGAAAAAAGAATCACAAAAATAAATCTAATTCTGCTATTTCTGCTTTGTCAATGTAAGGTTATAGTTAAATCCAGAAAATCTCTTCTAAATTTGATTGACATTGAGAAAAAACTCATAATATAGATTAATAATTTAATTTTTTCAAAAGTTTGACTGTTTGAAACAAAGAAACGGTTCGCTAGATCGAGTTGAAACTTCACAGGATTCTTCTGGGTATGTCGAACTGTAAAAGCCATGCTTAACACTAGTCATTTCGTGAATATTTCTAATTCAACCGTTAATTTTCTAAAAAAACATAAATTACACTTTTTCCTGTTTTTTTAAATTCGTGTAAAAGATGAAAAAATTTTTTTCCGAAAAGTTGAGGCAGCATGTTATAGGAAATTTATTCCAGTTTTCGAAACTGCCCTTCAATTATCTGTAATTTGTCGCCGAGATATCGATGATTGAAGACAAAACGATCCTTTTCCATTAAAAGTCCGATATTTCGATGAAAAATGGTAGTATCGAAATTAAAAAAAAAAGGAAATTGAAGCTGAATAAACAAGTTATCTGGTCCATACAATGACTTAGCTGAAAAAAATTTTTTCAAGTCCGTGGACTCCGTGGAGAAAATTTGCAAAATTTTGTTGTCGCGTAATTTTTTAGAATTGCATGATAACCGTCTAAGATCTAAAAACTAAAATCTAAGACCTTCAAAATGCTTTTTTTTAATTCCCGATACGGCCATTTTTCACAAATACAGTCTGTCAAAAATCAGGCAAAAATTTCGGAAATTCTTTTGATCCTTTAATTTTTTGCATTAGTGTAGAATAATCTATCTTGTATTAATCTATTTAAAGAATCCATTCACATATGCATTTTGTTACGAAATTGAGGCGTCACATGAAAATTTTCCTCCTATTTCTTCAGGAAACGAAAAAAATGTAAGTACAAATGAAAAAATGTTTCTAACTTTCAAATATGTTTCCATGCTCTAAATACAAATTAAACATTATATTGGTTACATACCTTCTTATCACTAACTTCACCTGTTACTGAAGACCTCCTTATGTCGATAATGCTTCCAAGAGCTTTAGTTATTCTGCTTTTTCTTTGTTCCTGAAAGGGAAGTAGTAAGTAATGTAAATTTAGTAATTAAATAAATGTAAGATTAATATTAGCTTATTCCTTCTTTGAAATAGAAAGTAATCGGTTTTTATAGAGAAAAATTTAAATGAATATTATATTCCCTCATATACATAGTACCACCCATATTTATATCAAATATGGTTGAATATGAAAAAAAAAGCCATATATCAAAAGATTCTCTGCATTTGTAGTAATATTTTCTTAGAAACTATTTAAATTTTCGCAATTTAATATAATCAGTTGTGAGGTATTTATAAAGTAAGTAGCTAAGTGCAATTTATTTTCAACTACAAAGGTATGTATATCGATGTTATCAAGAAAAATTTTCACTGTTGTGCGATAGACATGTGCCCATTGAGAGGACATTTTTTAATTAAACCTATAGCTTTTATTATGTATCAGATATCCAAGGAGGGTTTTGCTTCTTTTTAAGTATGTGGTATAAAATTCCGTTAATTGATATCTATTAATATCTTATAAAGTAAATTATTTATTTTGTTTTGTTAAAACTAGTGGCCATTTAGTAAAATTCCGTTGATAAATATTTAACTAATTGTACTTGCATTGCAAGTCGAACCACACTTAACTATATTATAAAAAAATATGTCTTTATGCTTGTGTAATAACTTCAATATTTTCAAAATCTACAGTATGAGTCAAGTTCGACAGAAAACCTCCTTTAAAGAAATAAGTTCATAAACATAGATCGTAGAGCACTTTTTAAAGATGTCTATTTACAAAAAATTAAAAATTTTTCAAAATATCTCTTAAAGATATTTGACATACTGATAAACCTTGAACAACGACCTCGCTAGTTATGGAAAAAAATCACTGAACTTGTTTACAAATACGTCAACACATAATGGAGGTACTTAAAAACTCTAGAATTTCGACGCTCCTCAGAAGATTGGAAATTTGATAAATGCATTTTAATAATCGTTTCGATTAATATTTCTATAAAAAAAATGTCTCCAATTTTATTCGAAAAATGAGTCAATTTTTGAGTTATTTTGCTTTTTTAATTTGAAAGAAGCTTACGACATACAAAGTTGATTAATTCGCAAATAACTCCAAAACTATTAGTTTCACAAAAAAATAATTATAGAAATATTTTGTGCGTCCAAACTAACGCATGAACTTTTATTTTTCTAGAGGATAATAACACCTAAAAAAATTAAAATTGTTGCAAACGAGCTTTTTGACACCTAATTATATTATATTTAAAATTGTATTTTCAACAAAAAATTCCTATAATTTTCCATTGAAGTTATTTTCGATTTTAGGCTTATTTTTAATTAAAAATACCAACTGGCATTAAATGCTCTTATCCAATATTAAAAATACTCGAAATTTTAGGGTTCTTAATGACAATGTCTCTCAGTATCTCTACCACACCAATAAAAGCCAACACGTTTCCGTAATAAAAACTAAAGTAAATTATTTATACACCACAAAAAAAAAAGTAAGCTGGGCTGTGGACCAGACTAGTGTACCACATAGTGTTTTGACTGGCTGAATCCGAATCTAAAGTCAAAATACACGGGTTGGTTCGTATTTTGACCCTAACATAAAGACACTCATCTAGAAAACGGTTTTCGACTTTTCAAATTTACTTGAGTAGTCTGTGATCGGCAAATCATTGAAATTCATTAACTCATTCACCATAACCTCGTAACCTCGTAACCCGGAATGTGCGAGGAAACATGGATCTCATACATCAGAAATTCAAAACTATATAATTCTGGGTAACACCGCCATCCTAATACTCGAAACCTGCTTATAATCTGAGCATGTGTACTTTTATCACTCAGTCATATGGATTTTTTTCTCTTTACATCCAATACATACTATCGCAAGTTTGAACTTTAGCGAGTTATTCATTCTATCATTTTATAATTTTATGCTCTCTCAAGACCTGTGCAATAACTACATTTTACATTTTCGATCTCTTTCAGGTACATTTCTTGTCAACTGTCATCAGTAAATCAACCAGCATATGTTTATTACGCCTGCCGCAACTGATGTACATCTTCTATCCTTCAAAATTCAATGTGTAAATTCATTTAGTTTTTGTAATCATATTCTCACAATTGTATTGAAGTTATTATTATTCTCACAACAGTTATGATTCGATATTGTTTTTGCACCGAATTTCTCGATTTGTCACCTCCGCACCCAGGGCATCTCCTCGTGATGATGGCAAGCAACGGGTGTATTCCGATTAGGTCCCAGGGAAGACAGAATCTTAGAATATAAGCTGGTGAAAGAGGAACCACGAAAACCTAGTACCAGTGATTTCCATAAATCCTCAACCTAGTTATTAATCATTAATTGTAATCTTACCTCGTATGTTGTGATAAGTTATGAAAGAGACTAAGGTTTTAGTATTAAGAACTTTTTCATATTAACTGCTTTCTTAATATAGTAAGTAAGATATAACTAATTTAATATAAGAGAAATGCTCGTAATGGGTATATGGATTTAAAGCTCGTATTTCTAGTGTATATCGATTTAGGACTTATGAATTTGGTGTATGGTTTATGGGTTTTGGATTGATGATTTTGAGTTGATGGCCAAGATACGAGGGGCGACCCAATAGTAATGAAAATCGGCCTGTGGAGTGGTGGCGAGGTGTTGTCGTAGCCACTCTCATGAGTCCCTGTGCGAAATTTCGTCGTGGTGAGACCACCTGTTTGTACGTAACATTTTTTAACGTACTTAACAACTTTTTCCCACGTAGCGAAATGGCTGACCTAGGGAGGCACGTGCGGTGACCACGGAAACTCTTGAAATGTTTTAAGCAGCTTACAAGAATGATGCTTTGAGTAAAACTCTGGTCTACGGTTGGTTTTCGAGGTTTAAAATGGGTGAAACCCATTAAACCATTGAAAACTAATCCCATTCCAGGCGCCCCTCAACTACAAGAACTGACGACAATGTTGAAAAAATCAACACCCTCATCCGTGAATACTGTCGCCGAACAATTGATCGACTCTGATATGTCTGGAATGTCTTGGAGTTCAAATAAGGGGATTTTGTCAGGGGATTTGCATATAAGAAGAGTTGCAGCCAAACTTGTCCCTCGCCTTATCAATAAGAATCAAAAGGAGCGCCGCCCCCAGCTCTGTCATGAGATGAAAAATCATTTTTTTTTTTTCAAGATTATTACTGATGGCGAATCATGGTGTTATGGTTACGATCCCGAAACTAAACAACAATCATTTGTTTTTTTTTATGTCAAAGATGTTCCAGTCCAAGCGGTTAATCAGCACTTATACATGGAGGTATTGGAAAGGTTAAGAGAGAGCAGCGGAAAGAAAAAGGCTGATCTTTGACTCACAGGGAATTGGTTCTTCTATCATGGCAACGCAAAGGCTCACGCCGCATTCACTGTGAGGCAGTTTTTGGACAAAAACGGAATGACACCGATTATGCGATCTCTCCCCGCCTCTACTCGTCTGACCTGGCCATTGACTTCCTTATTTTGTTCCCTAGACACAAAAGGGACCTAAACGGAAAATGTTTTGGGACTGTGGTGGAAGGACATTCCATTAAGTGAGTTACAGAACTGTTTCAAACAATAGCAAAAACGTTTGAACAATTACATATTGGTCAATGAAGAGGTGATCGAAATTTTGTTTAAATATATTGAAAAATAAAAATGTTATAAACAAAGTCTTATTATTTTTCGGTTCCCTCTCGTATAAGTTGAGGGTTTATGCATTTAGGAGTTATGGGCTTAAGATTAATAAATACGGTGTACAGAGTGACAGGTAATGGATATTTGTTCAAAACTTCAAAAACCGTTTTCTGGAGAAATGTTTTGACATTAGGATCAAAACACGAAAATTTCCGAAATTCTGACTTTAGATCCAGTGACCACAAGACTATAGGATACACTGGTCTGTAATATTACTCTGGAAATAGAAATATTTCTGTTTACTATAAAAAAAAACGAACAAATTGAAGAACGACATACTATACGTATTTACAACCATATAATATAATACTTTCAAAACTTACCTCTGGTCTATACAAGGAACCCCTTCTTTCCCTGAAAATAGGTTCAGTAAATTTAAAAGTAATACATAATATGTATATTACATATAAATATATCTATAAAATGAACTAATATAAATATACCGCATATAGATAATATATCGTGTCCAAAATGAAGCAGTGTTTCCCAGCTCCAATCTTAAGATTTTAATAATTACTATTTATAAACATTTGCCCTTGGAGCCCTCATTTTTGAGATACAAGGTGTTAAAGTTTACAAACCAAGGTATGTTTGTAAATATCTTCTGAATAAATAAAACTTTTGAAACGAGGTTTTGTTTGCACATTAAAATAAAATAAATATGACATAAATAAGTTTCAACAAAATCAGTGGATTAGTAAGTTATGTATGCTAGTTACATTTTGCTCAAAGATTGTAGCCACCTGAAAAATATTTTTTCATTTCTTGAATGCAAATTTTTAAAATTGCGAAGTTGAAACTTAATATTTCATGCTGACTACTTTTTTATTTATGTATTTGGCACACAAAATATCCTTTCAATGTCTTCTTTCGTTCAGAATATATTTAGATTCACCTACTTTAAATGGAATCTCTTTAAAAAATATCTTATTATTGTTTGGTTTAATTCATTTTCTTTTATTGAAACTTAAATTATTATAGTCCAGTTGGTAGAGGTTCGGCCTTCGGAGGTTCAACTTATTTGTTCCTGTTTCAGTAATATTATAAGTATATTATGAGTAATACCTGTATTTTTTAGATTTCCTAAGAAACTGGAACGGAGAAACTTGTGGAAGCTCTCCCTAGGTGATGTCAATATTACCTACAACATTTTTGTTTGTTCTGATCATTTTGCGATTAATGATTTTCTGACAAATATTAACTGCATCAGAAACAGGAATGGATTCACCCAATCGTAATAAAATTATAAACGTGAAGTAAGTTATAAATATATAATTAACAAATTATATGTCCTTTGTATAGTATCTACAATTAATACCCTATAATTTTTCTATCTGCTTACCTTTCTAACATTTTTTTTATTCAGTACATTTTAAAAAATACAAAAGAAAATTCTACCTGTTACATATTTATATATTACCATTTTATTTTATATAAACACTACCGTAAGTGTTTATGTAAAATACATCTGGAATAGATAATTCATCATTTTTAGGAAAAGGCCTTATCCACGATATTTTGGAGAATGCCATACTTCTGACATGGATAGTCCAAAAAGAGCAAGAAAAAGTTGGAATATTTGTAAGAAAAAAAAATAAAAATGCAAACAATAAAGATCCGAAGTCTGCAACAGGCAAAGAGTCGTCTAAAAGCCAGAATTTGTAGCCTTAATTCTCTTCTGAAATTTTTGAAAAAGAAATATGACTTAACAGAAACTGCTTAATGTATCATTCATGTAAGTTGAAAAATACTTATTCTTTCTGTGTCTGTAAATAATATGTAATTTTAGGAATCAGCACCTGGAATGTTAGGTGAAATCTATCAAAAATCAAGAAAATGACAATCTCATAAAAAGTATTCACCTGAGCTTAGGTCGTTTGCCTTAACTTCAGCTTTTATTCAACAGATGCTTATAATTATGCAAGAAGAAATTTTAACATGGCTTTGCCACATACAAAAACAATTTCTAAGTGGTACAGATCTATAGATGGAACACCTGCATTTACAAATGAAGCATTGGCTGCTATTAAAATGAAAGTAAGAGAAACAAACAGTGAAATTTTGGGCAATTTGGTATTTGACGAAACGTCTATAATGCAAAGTGTTGAGTGGAATAGGAAACGATTCACTGGATATGTTGATATCGGGGATAATATTCCAAAAGCTACGGATGCCCTTGTTTTTATGATTGTAGCTATAAATAGTCATTGGAAAATACCTGTTGGGTACTTCTTGACAAACGGTTGAAGTGGTGGAGAAAAAGCTAATTTGTTAAAAAAATGTTTAGAATTTTTAAGTGAATTAGGTATCAAAATAGTTTCTGTTCTTTTTGACGGTGCTCCTTCAAATATCAAATTACGGCCATATATGTTAATGTTAATATTAATAAGTAGATAGATTGCAAGTTTGTGGCATTTTAGGTTATTTGTTGACTTATTACTGTTTCAAATTGGTTTTCTAATAAAAACTAGAAAAATAAACCAAACATTTGTCTTTTTATGATTTCTATAAGTCACTAGTGAGTTTTATAAGTCATAATTTACTAGTGACTTAGGACTTTATAAGTCACTAGTGACTTATAGGCCACATTATTCCTTTAAAACCAAAGAAGTTATAGTATCATTATATACAAGTGTTGGATAAAAGCATTTAATTTATCAGTCATGATCAAAACAATTTGAGTATAGTAAAAACAGTTTATTAATTTTACTTCAATTTTTACCATCTCATTATATCACCAATATGTAAAAATTATTTATAAAATGAGTTATCCTTTCAAATGTGTATTGGTATTTTGTAAATTTTAATATTTCGCCTTTTTTGACAGTACGCCACTGCCATTGTGTCTCATTGTTTACATTTGGCACTATCTATCTTAATTTATTAGATAGTTCTCTGTTTAGATGTTTGCTACAGTTAAAACACATGTATAAGAATACACAAAGCTCCTTCTAGTGGTTAGAATTAGTTGGCAGAAACCAAAAGCAATGTGCAAAATTCAAGTATCTTCATTTTTGCAGTTTTGGTAAGGTTTTATATCATCCTAGTTTTATATGTCACCGTTTTGTTAATTTTTGGACGTATATTTATGTATATTTATAAAATATTCCATTACGGTAGATTAGCCAGCACAATTACCTACAATTTAAAAACAAAAATATTTTCATCGTTTAGATCCTAAGTCCTAAGCTACTTAACATTTTGCGCCTGTTAGCTATCCTCGTACATTATTCAACATATCAACATAAAACAAAAACGTACGTGTGGGGGTAAACCTTTAACTTTAAGTAAACAACTGTTTACAAATTTACTGTTGCATATTTCTAATAGTATACAAGCGCCGTAGAGCGGAGCTCTCGCTCGATAATGAAAAGTTAAAGGTTTACCCCACACGTACGATTTTGTTTTATGTTGATATGTTGAATAATGTACAACTACGGCTAACAGGCGCAAAATGTTAAGTAGCTTAGGATCTAAACGATGAAAATTGTATATATATATTTTTTAATTGTAGGTAATTGTGCTGGTTAATCTACCGTGATGGAATATTTTATAAATATACCTAGGTACATATATATTTTTCCAAAAGTTAAAAAAAAACGGTGACATAAAACTAGGGTGGGGTATAAAACCTTACCAAAACTGCAAAAATGAATATACTTGAATTTTGCAAATTGATTTTGGTTTCTGCATATTTACACTATGTGTATACCAAGTGTCAGCAAAACTTCAAACAAATTTGGCAAAGCTTCGAGTTTCAGATGCCGATGGATGTATAAAACCTTATAGAACAAAAAGTTTTGCTCTCCTGATTTTCGGATTTAGTGTCATTATTGTATATAAATTGAACTATAGTTTTCGAAAGTTTTATCACTTTTTGTTTATAATTGACATTTTTACAGCAACTTTAAAAAATTCACGTTTTATACCGTTTTTTCAATCTCCCGGCTTTGTTATTGCAAATTTCGTAATCGGACCACCACCATTTTGTAGCTATTTTTATTACGAACAAAATCATGTCCTAAGCATTTTTTCGTACAAAGTCATCCCGCTGAGTTATTAAAGAAAACTACTAAAAAAAACATTTTTCACGATTCAATTGTTAATAACTTTTTTCCTGATAAAATACTTTGTCAGCAAATTAGCCTGATATTGTACTCATCATTTAAAGTATTCCTGTGTAGTTATTTCCGAGTTATCAAGAAAATGTCACCAACAGTAACTTTTCGGCCTCTGTCGACTAGACTATTATATAACATGTCGGTTTTTATTCATTTTTAGTTATCAAAGCCTACTTATTTTTTCTTTGTAAAATTCGAAAGAAATTAGCTAACGATCTGTCTATTCCCTAGAGAGAGCTATAGGGTGTAGGCTTATTGAGGCCTTGGCGAGTACGTAGATTGAGGCCCCGTAATCGTACTGCAACTTAAATATTCAAAACAATATATTTTAACTTTACCTTTCATCCTCTCTAAGGATTAGGCAGATCGAGGAGGTTCTCTCAGAGACTCTCTAGCAGTTCGATGCGAGGAGTAGGCAGATCGAGGCCTCGGTATTGTTCGGTCGTCCCTTCCCATCCTTTTGTTCAAAATTTAACCGTTTGAAAATGGCTCCAAGACGGGAGCCGAATCGTCGGTAATTAAACAATATTAAATACTGTTCAACCCGAGAATCTAGTATTCCTCATACTAACAACAGCGGAAACCTAACCGAACATATACTATACATGCATATATACAGGGTGTTCCCGAGATAATGGGCCAAAAATAATGGGTAGATTCCCGAAACAAAAATATTGCGATTCAGCCGAACCTACCGAGTCCAAAAGTTGATAGTTAAAGAGATACTGGGTGTTAAATGTAAAATATTATTTTAGTTTTTTTTTTTTTCATTTATGTCTTAATAAATACAACTATCCACTCAAAATTTTGGGGTTTAGGCACTAACTACAGTAGATTAAATATAATGTTAAAAACGACATAACTTTTTTATACTTTGAAGTATACCTATGAGATATGTCAATTATTTGATTTTCGTCCAAAGCCTACTTTACCGCTAAATTAATAACTTAATTGTAACTTAATTATAATTTAATACAACAGCATTAGAGGTTTCAAAGTCAAATATCTCGAAAACGGTGCAAGACAGCTACTTTCATAAAGTATAGATACCGTTTTGTGTAAAAAAAAGTTGGAAAATAAGAATTTTATATCAAAGATGAGATACCTTAAAGTATAAAAAGTTAAATAGTTTTTTACACTCTATTTTTTTATATAACTGTGTCGAAGCGCCGAATATTAAAAAAACATTCTATTGTTTCTAAATAAATGAAAATTTTTTACATGATTTATTAAATATTAAGTAATATTGGTACGGATTTAATAATTGTAAATTATATTTTGTTTTCCACTGTAAGACAGCGAAACTAATGAAAAATAATTTAGTGAATACAAATAGCTTTAATATGACAACGACGTGTTTATTTTAGTCACTTTTGATGTTAATGTGGATGAAGTGCTGAATATTAAAAATATTGTTTTTAAAAAATTTAAAATTTTCACATCATTTATTAAGTACTTATTAACCAATATTGATATGTAGGTACGTTATTAATTGTAAAAAAAAACTAATTTGTGTTTCAAGATAATTATTTTTATTGTTTTAAAAAATGAACATAAAAAATAAGTAAAACTAATCTCATTGACATGAAATATTTCTTAAAACTCGTTTCAAGTTTTTTAAAACAATTGTGTTCTTATTTTTTTATGCAGTGTATGAATTTAATTTGTGAATTTGTGTCAATGACCTCCACCAAGTTCTGAACGCTTCCGTTGTGCAATGAAGTTAACCATCGCTGTTCAGTTGCAATGTTGCCATTGAAAGCGGATATGCCAATTCTTCGCATGGGAATGGCAGAATACTTCACTGTTTCATTTGGTTACATTTTTAGTTTAGTTTTCGACTTTATCGATCTGTGGATACACATGCCGCTATTGATCCATTTTTAAGCATTACGACAAGAACGCCAGCTTAACGCCGCCCGGACGCACCAGGGTTCCCGGAAGAAGACCCTGGCAGATTGGCACCAAGGACCAGCTACTTATACCTGCGAACGACTCCACACGACGAAGACTCTCCAGAGAACGCTCGCCCCGACAACACGTATTCTTTTCACTAACTAATTTTCAATACTTTTGTTTACCGTTGAGAGAGAGTTTTATTTGCTGTACTCTGAAAGTGGTGACCCCGATGTGATCTTTCAACCGTCATTGAGTGTAAGGACGCGATTTTGTGCAATCAGAGTGTTTTTTATTTCGCGCAACGCAGCAAGTAACATGAGCCTCAAACAAGCA